CTCATTTGCCAATTTGTAAAACTGTTCAAATTTTAACCCAAAATTGAATTCGTAAATTTGTTTAAAATAAATCTTGATTTATTTATCTTGTTTTTATTTTATTTAACATCTTTATATGTAATAAATGTATTATTCTTGGAAAAAATAGTGTTTTTAAGCTTTTTGCCTACATTCCACTGAACTTCATACCCTTATACCAAATCCAATCGATATTAAAGTTTAAACCATTATAAAGTTTATTGCACACCATATCGGTTAGTATTTCATTACTTTTTTTTTAATTAGTTATGATTTTATCTTTAATAAGATACGCCACTGGTATTAACAGACTTTTAGTTGCGTACAACAGCAGCGTTGCCAGACGAGATTTTCGATTACAGTTTGTCTTCTTTCGATCCGCATAAAATATCTTCTTTCTCTTTTCCGATGATTGGGACCAAACAAAACATACTTTATGAATGAAATGCATCATCTGTTGTTTCTTTTATCTAAGGTTTTCATTTACGCATTTAAAACCAGGCGCCAAGTTCCGTCTCGCCCACCGCGATGAGAACCTGCATTTTAATTGGTCCATAAAATGCCCATATATTAACTGTATGCTATTTGCACTTTTGCATCTGGTCTAGGTAATCTGTGTCATGGGTAGAGCAAGTCACAATGAGGACAGCGCCCCGCTTGTGACATATAATCCATCCTTAGATAATAGTCGTTTTCTTTTTACAAGCATACTTGACTAACTAAAAGTTAGATTATGATCTAAGCTTAACTGTAAAAAGAACGCGAATTTTGGTTGACAGGTGACGTGTCCCATGTCATCCGTTTAAAAACAATCTATATTTTAATCAAATTTTATAATTTTTTCAACATTCAACACTACAAATCTCATCCCCTGTTATCATAGTCTTTTATTATCTCTAAATTAATGAATTCATGGGATATGTTTGTTCATATGATGCACAGAACACTCACTTTCTGTGATGGTTTATGGTTGACGTCAAGTACCGTGCACCTTAGCATCGGTAAGGGGGGAAGAAAGATTCTGACTTACAATCATAAAAAGAACGTACATCTCAGCTTAGTCGATGTAAGTTAGCTCAGATTAGTTGTAAAAAGAAAACGACTACTATATTGACAGATAGGCTGTATAAATCTATTCGCTCCGTGCGCGACAGCAGCGCCAATTCGTTTTGATACGAATGGACTATTTCTGCGTACACTGACAAATGCAACTTTTAATAGAATTCGTAATTAAAAAGTATATATGGTAGTTTTAATAAAAGTATATGGATTTGTAAAACAAGTAAAACATTAATTTATTATTATTATATATTTTTATCGCTTAAATTAAAGAAAATTATGTATAATCGATAAAAATCAATAATAAAATATAGGCAGGCAACAGTATTTACTGGAAAATATATGAGAAGTTGCCTAAGTCTAATAAGTTTTCATTGAAGAATTACTTTAATCTGTCAAAATAAAAAATACCATTTAATAATAGCGTGAAGTTAAAATGTATAAAAAAAGGATCATTACTTATATTTTCATTTTTGTTCGAAAGAAAACATAGAATGAATGATTAAAACTGATTTACCATCAGTAAGTTACAAAATTGCGTTCCAACCACATATAATAATCAAAGACAGAAATCTTGAAATCTAGTCCTTGCTGAATGAACATTTAAGAATAAGGGATATTAAAGAACATGGTAAAATGATAATTTATTGTTGATTTAAAACCTTTCAAGTTTCTGATGTCTACTATTTGCAGCATAACGGTTATTATTACAAAAAAAAAGGTAATTTTTCTTCTTATTGTATATCTATCCATTTATTTCTTTGATTTAATTTCCACTTTGCTACTGAAATTTTTTATATAAGTTTCACTGTTTTTTTGCTAGTATTTGTTCAATTTTCAACACAGCAACTCCGGTTGCTTATTGTATTGTTTTTACCTACTTTTTTTGAAAAAAAGTAAAATGTATACGTGTATTTGATATGCCAAAATTACAAAATATCGCCCTAAAATGCACAATTTATCCGCAGCTAGCGCTAGTATCGCTTTTGCTTCCCTTTCCATGACTTCGCACGGAGCGAATACAATGTTGATGTCGCTCTAATAAAATCATTGTTTCTTTTTCTAATGCAGGCTTTCTCGCTCATATTAGAATCTTCAGCAGTAGCGTACGTAAACGGATTACATTGGGTTATTTTAAATGTGAAAATAGTGGATGTAAATAGATTAAAAAAGTACAAAATAATGTTTTAAAAGATAGGTACGTTTTTATTGAACTGAAAACAAAATATGACATTATTGTCATGTCAAAAAATATAATAAATATTTTATTGCTTCTAAAATATTTAGAATTACAGCGAGAATTACAGCAAGGATTTGGAATTCTATAAAATATCTATACCTGTTGAAAAGCTATACAATGGTAGAACTGAAGAAATACATGAAGCATTTAATTTAAACATGACAAAATATTCCTAATAAGAATAAAGGATATTAAAAAAATATATAGGAATTTAATTTACTTTTCTAATGACTTTGTTTAAAATATAAATTATCTAGTTACTTTATTTAAATTAGGTAACTAAATATTCTTATATTACTGATGATAGTTTATATTTTAGACCATGTACAAATATATACAGTATGCGTTCGAAAACTAATAATTTTTTGGATATTGCACATACTTTTTCACTCATCTTAATTGTGTCTGTAATGTTTTATTTCTGTTTCGTAAGTTTGAAGCAGTACTGTTGGCAATAAAAAAGTCTTCATAATGACCGATTTTCTAGAAACTTCAATGTAAAGTTACCAAAATATCTAGGTTTTCTGAAATAGGTATTCATATACAATTTAATGTATCAGCTTAGATCAAATCCAATGTTTTATTTACTTCTTAATTAATGGTGACTCAAATTTTGTTGATGAGAGTCATACCTTGAACTTAATATTGAAGTGCATGAGGTACTTTTGTTCAAACTATAACTTCTTTTATTTGTTGGCAAGTTTAATACTCTTAAAGAAGGTCCATAATCAAATAATTTAGTATCTGAAGAAATTACTATACTAAAAACATCCAAACATATTATTGGTTCACCAAATTTAATAAACACAATACCTTCTATTTTTTTTTTTAGGTGACATAGGTTCACCACTACTCTATTTTTCCTACTTTGTTTGTGTAATACAAAGTTCCTAAAAAGTAAAGATCCAATTTTTAAAAGTGCTTGATATTTAGAAATGTACAAACTTATAAATATATTTGTTGCAGCAAAGTCGTCCTCTAAAAAGTGCATTGAACAAATGTAATATATTCGTTCAACTTCTAACATTTCAGTCCATTCAAGTGCCTCTAACCATAAGTTTCTTCTAATTCGTATTTTACAGCACTAATAATTTTTTTTTTTTTTAATATGCATATTTTATTTTCTTTTTTTCTCCTAAAACAACGCCCATGTTCTTCGGTAAGAAATAATATTAATGAGTAAAACGTAACATCACTTCCTCTTTTATATTTAAAATCACATAAAACACAAGTCTTTTCCTAGTATAAAATAAACCCTACAAATCAAAGTCACTTTTAACACCACCATACTTGAATGAATTTAAGTAAAAACTTAAAAAATTGTCTAAAAATAACTGGAAAAATAAATATAGAGATAGAGATATTAATCTATTTCTCTCTAATTAGAATCTTTCATGTGATATCAAGGCGACAAAAAATTGTTTATTGTCTTCTCTGTACTACTCTGAGAATCCATTGCATGTGTTCATCTCTTGCTAAGCGATATTGTCGTTGTCCTTGTTTTTCGCATCATAATGAGAGAGAAAACAATAGAGGCACACATTTACTGTGCCCTGTGCCCATCTTTCGGAATTCTCGGAACGTCGCTCAACGCCCGGTCGTCCAGTGTCGTGCCAACGCGGTTTGCGCTGAATATTGGATAAAATAATAATAGGCATTGAGGAAAATATAAAATATTTGTTATTTTTTTTTTTGTTTATTATACTAGGGCACGTGCCCAAGTGCCCTTACGGGCAAACCGCCACTGGTGTATTTGATTATGACTGCACCATTACAAAATTTTGAGATGAGTTGAGAAGGTAAAAATGTTGCAATAAATCAAAAACAAGTAATACTAATAATATTAATAGTGGCGGAATTTCAATACAATATAAATAGTAAACATTTTAAGCTGTTGGCAAATGATCATAAATTATGTTCAATATAATAAAGAAATATATTATTTATTATTTAAACATCATTTTAATCTAAGCTGTGCTTATATAGGTATATGGTTTTTAAATTGTTCATCAAAAGGGGTAGTTTTAAACCCCTAAAATTAAAAAGCGCATACCTATCAGGAACATAAATATAACTTTTGAAGAGGGAAGGTAAGATAAGGTTGATTACAAATTTTCATCAAAATCGGTGTAGCCTGAAAGAATTCTATTTTTACCATTAAACACTGGACTAAACCTATAGAATTAAAAAACTGGACTGAAAATGGCAGATTTAACTTTTATTACTCGTAGCGCCATCTCCTTGTGAAAATATAAAACAAAGTTGAGGGGATGGCCAGATTAAAAAATCTGGACTGAAAATGGCAAGTTTAACTTCTATTACAGCGCCATCTCTACATAAAAGTAAAAACAAATATTGACACATGGCGGGAATATTAAAATTTGACTTTATAATTATAATTAAATAGTGCTGCTATTCTATTTTCTTTTCGTTTTAACTATATTTCAAAAAGTTATTCAACTCTACTTCATCAAAAGTGTATTACCCTTAATTATCCTTAATTTTAAAAAATAATATTAAAAAATCAGGATTATTTAATTGTTTTCTTCAAAGTAGTGAAAATGAATTATCAATATAAAGCAAAAGTTGCATAGAATGAAAAGATTTGATTAAAACAAGAGTAGCACTATATAAAACCATTTTAAATCAATAAATGGGATAATTTAACTTTTAAAGAACTTACTACGCTTTTTCTTCTTGAACCTCCTTCTATATGTCTCTTTTTCTTCAAGATTTAATGATTCATTATGTGATAATCCAGAAGAACAACTTTTAACTCTTTTCCTTCTGATACTCATTCTTAAATTTTTCATGGGATCAAATTCACTAATATTGTTCACACTAAAACTGTACTCAGTAACAGGTATACTGTCCGATAAAAAATCACTATTAGATTTCCAACTGTCTATGGCATTTAAAACGGCCACTTCGTTTTTAAGTTCAATTACAGTGTTTACAATGGGTTCCTGATAGTTTTTTTCAGTTAGTATTACACTATTGTTTAATTGAGATTCACATTCACTTATATTTACACAATTTTCGTCCTTATAAGCTAATACTTCTTGAGAACAGTTATCACTAGGGCAATACTGCTCCTCAATAACTTTGTTACCTTCCTGAATTCCCTCTTTTAAAGAGCCTTGGGTCATATCTTCAACAATAACCTCTTCTTCAATAACTTGGTTGCTTGGCTTATCCAATTGAAATGGAATCCCTTTTTCTATACAATTTATCCTCTCTTTGAGCTAAAACATTAAATGGAATCAGGTTTATATTTATATAGAAAAAGTGGCCGTCAAAAAACTACGCAGTTTTTTCAAGGTTCAGGAATTAAAACAAACTTTACTTACCATCTCATTTTCTTTCCGTAATATGTAGATTTCCCTGTCTTTATCGAGGATATCATCATTTTGTTGTTGGATCAGATCTGTATGCAAAATTAACCACTCTTTGATGAGTTTAACCTCACTTTCGGCAGTTTGACAGTTGATTGGCGGACTTTCGTTTGATAAATCGTTTATGTCTCCATTTTCGATATTTGTCGCGTACATATGATCGACCACATTTATTTCTTCCTCGCTCGATTCGGTTTCGACGTTTATCTCATTGAAATATTCAATTGAATGTGTACATTTCGACAATAATTTTGAGCTACTTTCATGATGAAAATCCTCGGACATTTTCGTGTAAACTCGACCTTATGTTTTGATCATTGTTTATGCTTGGCATACGGCTAAGACAATGCGACGAAATTTGAATTTGTTAATGATTTCGGAATTGTTCATTTTGGCTTTAACTTAGATGTTTGCACAAAATTCCAATTATTCAATAACAATCCTTTCATTCTATCTGAATATCGCCAGAACAACACATTTTCTAAGCCATTTTTATCCAATAAAGATGATTATTTTACCAGATTATTAAAATTCTACATTAAAGCAAGCAAAAATAAGTCGCTGCCGATTATATTTCGTATACTAGTGAGATTTATCTCTCAATTGAATAAATTTACTTTTTATTTATTAAACAACGGTAGAAGCAAGTAAGGTTAGGTTATGAAAATTATTTACAGTACTTTTAGGAAACTTCACTCGCTATACAAACTTACACAGTCGCATCCAAAAAGAAAAAAAACTTATTTTTATATCAATTACTGTCACATTTTAAAACGATTTTTTAAAATAAAATACAAAATGTTTAATGCAAACGTCATTGTGTAAATGAAACATAGACTTCACAAATAAAAGTACGAATGAATGGTGTAAATTAAAATTCCGTAAATTTTATACTTTTTGAATAATAATAAATATATTTTTTAAACAAATCTATACTTTGTCAACACAACAATCAACAACGCGAAACGCGATCAGTTTATTTTTGACTTTTGACAGTTGAATTAAAAGAAATTTTGACAGCTGCCAACGCAGAATTTTTTTTCGAGAGTCATTTATTGGAATTAAAATTTTATTACGTCATTCGACAATAAATTTGGCTTATCACTTGCCAAAGAACCTGATAATAAAAAACAGAAACTCCTACAAAAACAACCATAAGATGAGACTAATCCACTGAACTGTTACCTACAGTTCAGTCTCTAGTCTTAATATTTATTATATTGATGAATCAAACAAACCTTCCATCGCCACATAAAGGGTCGATTCCACCGTTGTGTTAAACGGAGATTAAAATGACATTGTTAATGTAAAAATGTCATTTTAAACTTCGTTAACACAACGGTGGAATCGATCCTTAGGGTCGATTCCACCGTTGTATTACGGCCATATGCACCATTGTCCAGCTAAGTCCTCTGTTATCTAACAGTAGTATAAAAAATAACAGTATGTTAACAGAATTTGCTATGCACCACCAATGTACCATCTATTTACCAGTTTCAGTAAGAAATCAGTCTGTTACGTATATATTACTGTTCATATCCTATAAAACCTTATATAGCCCTTCAAAATAAACAAGTAAAATTAAAATAGTCTGATAAGTAAAATTAACAGGCCAAATTTGGTTTGTTACATTAACAACGCCTTTAACAGATTGTTAGTCGTATTTTGTAATGGTGAATACAAAATTGTCAATTTAACAGTCAGTTATGTAGTTAACTCTCTGATAACTATTAACAGAAGAATGGTGCATATGGTCGTTAAACGGAGAATAAAATGACATTGTTAATGTAAAAATGTAATTTTAAACTTCGTTTAACACAACGGTGGAGTCGGTTCTAAATAAATGAAGAGTTTAATAATGAATAAATAAATTTTCTAATCATATCCCAAGAGGTCTATTTTTTCACATACGTGTATATTTTTTCTTGCATTCTTCTTTATTATTCCTTTTTCTTATATTTTACTTGCAAGCATTAAAGAACGAAAAACGAGAACTTGGATGTTAAACAACAATAATGTGCTGTTTTATACTTAAAAGTCTATCTACGTAAAAAATAACAAAAACTACATATAATTTGTGGTTGAGTAATAGCAGATTTCTGGTATTTTTTAAAATTCCTTTGACAGATTTTTAGTAGATCCAAAAAAACATTTTGTAGATTTGTTGACGAAAATGTGGCAACGCTGAATAAGCAAATGCCAAAATGTCAAAACCAAAATACGTCACGTCTCCAAAATACGCCTCATTGATACACGTAAATCAAAAACAAATGTGGGTTTTTGGGTTTTTAATAGTCTTTTAGATCTGATTAAATTGATGTATTAACGTTTAGGATTAAAATAATTTATTTTAAATATGATTTTTTAATATTTAGATTCAAACTATATTTTCAAGTAGCTTATAATAAAATTTGTGAAGTTTTGTATTGCCGGCTTTAACCTAAAATTATAAAAATTGTTTTTTAAAAAATGTTAGGATTTAGCAAGAAAACTACTGCTCAACCACAGAATGCCGAAAAACAAGAAACACTACTTACTTTAACGATTTTAACTCTAGCAGCGATTCTTTGTAAGTATTTGCCAGATTAATTTTTATTGGACTTATCCTAAATCATTACTATTTTATAGCATTTGCTACAAGGCTGTTTTCCGTGTTAAGATTTGAAAGCGTAATTCACGAATTTGATCCATATTTTAACTACCGTACCACAAAATATTTGGCAGAACAGGGTTTTTATTCTTTTCATAATTGGTTTGATGATAGAGCATGGTACCCCTTGGGTAGAATTATTGGAGGCAAGTATTACACTAACATATAAAGCTAATTAAAATTGGATAATTAATTTTTAATTAATGTTTTACAAAAGAAGTAGATGTTTAAAATGTACATTTTTCTTTTAGGTACAATTTATCCAGGGTTGATGGTCACTTCAGCAGCATTTTATCATCTATGTTGGCTGCTAAACATTACCATAGATATCAGAAATGTTTGTGTTTTTCTTGCACCTTTGTTTTCTTCATTCACAACAATTATAACTTACCTACTTACGAAGGAGGTGAAAAATTCAGGTGCTGGGTTAGTTGCAGCTGCATTTGTCTCAATTGTGCCAGGTTATATCAGTAGGTCTGTAGCTGGAAGCTATGATAATGAGGGAATTGCTATATTTTGCATGTTGTTAACATATTATACATGGATTAAAGCAGTAAAAACTGGTACCATCCTTTGGGGCACATTGAGTGCCTTGGCATATTTTTATATGGTGAGTTTTTGGTATAAAGAAAGTTACATTATGTATCTATCTTTACCAGTGTGTTAAACCTAATATGCATATGAAATAAGTTTGAAAATTTTTGTTAAAACATTGATTTGAAATTACAAACGTTATAGCTAGTGCTCCTAATAACATATAAATAAGGTGTGTTCTTTTATTCAATGCTGCATCCAGCGCTTGCAGCAAACAGTAGTAAATTAAGTGATGGAAAAAACAGTTATATGTGTCAATTGTTCTTTTTTACAGTAATGAGTTCACCAATGCATCTATCAGCTTTAAAAGCATTACATAATATACAACTTTATGTAACCAATTAAATAAAGTAGATCATTTTGACGTTTGCTGCTATTACAAAAGATTTCACTTTATATGCCAAAATTAGAAAAAATAATATAAATATACTGTTTGGTTTTTGAACTGTAGCACTTGCAAATAAGTAAAACAGAGCACATGGGGATAAATTCTGAATGGCACTCATATTTCAGCCAATTTCAACATTTGTGTTTTTTTTATATTCTAGGTTTCATCTTGGGGAGGATACGTATTTCTTATTAATTTAATACCATTGCATGTACTAACATTAATGGTTACAGGACGTTTTGGACACCGTATTTATATTGCTTACAGTACTTTATACTGCGTAGGAACGATTTTATCAATGCAAATATCATTTGTCGGATTTCAGCCAGTACAAAGTTCCGAACATATACTAGTAAGTATATTGTATTTAGAAAATACATGAGTCAAATCAATTTTGAGATTTTATTCATCGTTTGTTTATTATTTTCAGGCCTTGGGAGTGTTTGGTTTGTGTCAAATTGTAGCTTTCGTAGACTACATTCGTAGCAAACTGTCAAAGTCTGATTTTGAAACCCTTTATCAATTTTTGATATACACCGTTGGTTTACTAACGGTAACGGTTGGTGGCGTTTTAACAATTTCCGGAAAAATTTCGCCTTGGACTGGAAGATTTTATTCTCTTCTGGATCCGTCTTATGCCAAAAACCACATTCCTATTATCGCCAGCGTTTCAGAACATCAACCCACTTCTTGGAGTTCGTTTTATTTCGATCTACAGATTTTGGTGTTCCTGTTTCCGGCCGGACTGTATTTTTGCTTCAAACAGCTGACCGATTCCAACATTTTTTTGATTTTGTATGGAATTACTAGTATATATTTTGCGGTAAGTTTCTAGGAATAAAGGGATTTTTTGAACTAATTTTGGTGTTAAAATGTATGTGTTTGATAAACTTTGACAGATGTTTAGTCTAACCCACTTTTCAAAAATGAATTGTGTGCATAAGTGAAATCAAATTAAAAATTTTTTTACAAAGGCAGAATATGATTTTTAAACGAGAAATATAACGGTGAAAAAATTATTGGTTTAAAAATTTTTTTTTTAATGCATCCTGGATGTCTTTTATGTCACAGGGATTAAGCAACAACAGTTTCTGGGAAACAAGTTGAAAGACTCAAAGAAAAAGGAAGGAAATATTATTTCCAGTATTATTAGTCTATAATAATAATAATAATAATAATAATAATAATAGCTTTATTGCCCAACAGTTTCCCATTTACAGGACAATATTCTTAATAGTAAGTAACAATAATAAAGTGGTATCTAAAAAAAAAATAAAATTAATAAATTACAAAAGTAAATTCTACTTATGGGTTGTGATGTAACATATATTTACACGAAAACTAATTAAAAGTTGCAAAATAAAAACTATAATAGAAAACAAATGAATATTGTGAACAAGCCAAGAATATATTAAAAAAAAAAAAAATTCTTACAAAAATAACACAGGGAGAATTCATTATAATACAATATACTTATTACAATATTTCGTTAAGGAAAGTAACTGCATTTTTAATTAGTTCACCAAGAGAACAATGAAAAATATCGCAATGACTACTAATTTTATTGTAATTGTTACACATTACATATAAGGGTGATTTTAACATCAAGTTGGTTTTTGCCCTAGGGCATTCGAATAGCTTGTTGGTTCTAGAATTTAGACGGGGTATATTAAATTTAATTTGTGACAAAATATCGCTACAATCAATAAAATTGTGCATGAGTTTAAATAGAAAAATAAGCGAGGATGTGTTCCTTCTTAGGCTCAGGCTATTAATATCAAATTGTTTACACAATTCCGTATAATCACAACCACGTTCGGGATATACGCCATCAATTTTGAAAACTAGGTATTTTAAAAATTTTCTTTGAACCCGTTCTATATCCAGAACGTAGCAGTTGTAATATACCTATTAGTAAGAAAAAAAAAAATAGGGTGTTTCAAAAAACGTGAGCAGTCCCTGGTGAGGTGACTCCTTGCAGGTTCGCAGATACAGGGTGTTACAATTTTTATTTTTTTAATATTTCTGAAACGGCTTTAATGATTTGAATCACATTTTTATTGTTAAATGTACCTAAAAAAGTACACGTGTTACAAATAAAAAGATGTAAACAAGTTTATCATGGACGCACGTGCTAACGGGAGCTTTAATAATTTTTATCAAAAATATACGCCACTTTCTTTTTCAGTTTTTCATGGCACATTTATTTAGCTATTTAAATGGCTTATAAACATTATCTTTTAATATTTTTAGTTTTCGACTTCGTTTAAATATCATTTTATTAGGTAGCGTATTATTAATATTTACCTATAGTAGAATTGCAATCGACACGGAGTAATAAATCAAAATTTTATGAGAGTTTTACAGCACAAACGGCTCAAACAAAATCTGTGATTTTAAAGAGCCGGCAGTTAAAAGGTGTGGTGAACTTAAGAATTTTACCTGGGTCGCCCGGTTTTGTGGAACGTAACAATGGGCTACCCTTATTTTAATCCCTTTTAAGACTCTGATGAGCGCACGGTTGGGTAAATTAGGGGGTATTTGTATTATTTTTTTTGTTACTATTTTAAACAATTGTAATTTAACCGCCGGAGTGCTTGTTTTAGGTGAATCTCATCGCCACTCCTGCAAAAAAATTTTTTGGTTGGCTAAAGCCAATTTTTTGTTTTTTGTGTTTTTTGGTGGTAACATTTTCACCACTTTTTAGTTTAGTTTCTGGCAGCGTTAATTGGGTGGTCTCAACGCCGCACCGCCAGACCCAAGTGATATGGAGGTTTCTGACAATGCTTCTACATCTTTAAAATTAAATGTCGTCTTATGTCGACCTACATATCCTTTAACTTGTGCCCATATCAGTTCAATAGGATTTAGTTTGCAGTGATAGGGAGGAAGATGCACAACATCAATACCATGTGTTTTTGCAAGTTCATCTACTACATAAAGTACTAGAGGCTTATTTAATTTCACAATTTCCAGTAGTTCTATTTTTATTGATTTTTCTGGAAAGTTAATGTTTCTGTCTATTAGCCACTTAATGATATCATCTTTCTTCCATGAAGTATTTGGCACACGTCCAATTATACGGGAATGGTAACTAGAGTTATCCATTACTATAACTGAACCCTTTGGTAACTGTTCTATCATCTGCTGAAAATATTCTTCAAAAACATCAGCATTAATATCTTCATGGTAGTCTCCGGTTTTTAGATTGAAATATTAAAGAACCACGTTTTGAAAACCCGTCATCACTTCCAATATGAGTTATAATTAGACGTCGTCCTTTACCGGAAGGAACCTTCAATCCTGTAGATAATCCTTCCAAAAAAGCCTATCGTGAAGATTGAATGTTTGTGTCCTGTCACATTTTGCTAACTGTAACCTTCATTCATCCAGGCTTCATCCAAATAAAATATTTTTTTGCCTTCTGCACGTAATTTAAAAATGGGTCTGAGGTATCTCCGTCTCCAACAAACAATAAAGAATTTCCTCAGAATCAATAAGTGCTGCTTTCCTGTCCTGTTTATCCCACTTGAACTTCAAATCTATTAGAGTTTTGTCTTACCCATTTTAGGAAAATACGGATCACTCTTGATTGTGTCCAAAACCTTGGCATGTTTTTTAAAATAAAATTCGTGAACTTTTATTCTTATTCCGCTTTTAATTTGTTCAGTAAATTCCACTTTTTTCTTACCTCCTGCATTTTTCTTTGGGGGTTTATCAACTCCACTTTTTAATTCACTTATAGCTTTATATATCGTTGATTTGCTTACACCCATCATTATTTGTCCTTTCAACAGTATCGTCAACAGAAAACGAAGAATTTTCCATTCTTATGCAATTATAAATATTGCTTACAAATATTTTCTGACAACGCACACTTTTTTATACATTTCACAGGTGTAAACTTTGAACTTGAACCACACTGCATTTTTCAGTACTACTGTATCCGAAAATAACCACAACTTCTTACTATAATAGATAATATAGAAGGCTAATCAAACAGGGTAGGTAATATTGGGAACTGATCAAGATACTGCAACTGCCTATCTTATCTTCATACCAAATCCTAGGTATGTAACCATCTTATAATCCCACCTCCTTGTTATCATTTTGGTTTTTCCATGGCATTAATAATCTCCAAGAAGATGATAAAATAACGATTAACCCTTAGATTATAGATTTCTATAATCTAAGGATTTATCCCATTTACATTTTTAATACAATTATAGTCATATTTATAGATTTTGAACCCTAAGATTACTTTCTATAATTTAAGCTGAAACCTTTCTCTCCACTTTCACCTTGACATCAAAAATTTCCAAGAAGTCAATGATGAATAACGATTTAAACAATTTAATGTAGGTATACCTAATAGTCAAATTTATAGGACTTGAAAAATATTTGTTACATACCTTGTTGTTAATTTACTCAAACACATAACAATTGCAAATAACTTAAAAAACATTCAAAAAAATATATTTGTAAATAATAATATAGGCACCTAAACCTGAAATTTCCTGATCTGACAGATTATTCCGTGTCGATTGCGATTCTACTTCAAATAAACAACAAATAACATGCGACTGAATTACAATAATCGGTACTCAGTAAAGCGTGATTCATAAGAAAAATAGAAAAAAAAATGGGTAAAAAAGAAAAAACAAACAGATTTCTTATTTAGCTTCACTTTTCAAACACAATTTCAGGGCCGGATTTAGAGTTTTTATTTCGGTTGAAAAACGCAGTTAAAAAATCTGATGTGTCCAACACATATCTTTCCTGTCTAGTTATAGACTTTCCGGTTATTTTGTACAACCTATTGTATCACCCCTGTAAATGTTTAGAGAGAGGTTGAACTATTTTTTTTTTATAAATACGTACATTTTCCACACACATCTTACTTGAATAATTTTTTTATATATACAGGGTATCCGCTAATTAATACACAGCAAAAGTGCAGATTCTTTGGGTAAAAATATTGCGATGTAACCAAACTTACCTTAGTCCAAAAGTTGATAACCGAAATATAGTAGTATGTTAAAGTTGAAAATTTAAAAATTAATAATGGCTATAATTTTTTATTTCTCAGTTTAATTTTACTAAATTTGACAAACACTTTTAGTGTCATAAGATACTCTTTCATCCCCTCTAAATTTTACGCCACTGTTTGGGAAAGGTTTCATATTTTTATCTGTTTGTTTTGTTAATTTTATTAGGAGTCTCTGAATGAAGTAGATTTATTGGTACATTTTGTATTTTTTCAGTTTGTTATTTTTGTACCGAATTTTTTTTTACACTTTATTGAATTAATTTATAGATCTACATTTTTTATCATCTCATTTTGAAATTGTTTTATTTCCTTTTCTAATTTTATAATGTTCTAACATTTTATATAATCCTACTAATATATAAATGCGAAAGTTTGGATGCATGGATGTTTGTTGCTCAATCACGCAAGAACGGCCGAACGGATCTGGATGAAATTTGGCACAAAAATAGATTAAAGTCTGGAATAGCACATAGGCAACTTTTGGTCCCGGAAAAATATACGGTTCTCGTGGGATAGATTTGTTTTTGTTTTTCACAGACATGATTGTTTGCATAGTGGTAGTGAAACATGAAAATTTGAAATACAGCTTATGAGCATAAATAAATAATGACGTGTTTCAGGGTTTTGGATTTTCACATTTTAAAGGGGGGAAACGGGGATTGAAAGTTTCTATAGATTTTTTTAAAGGTAGGAACTTGAAAATTGGAATTATAGCTACTCATCACAAACACTTAATGGTGTGTTTCAGGGATTTTGAATTTTTATATTTTAAGGGGAAAAGGGGAGAAAGGAAAGAAAGGGGAGAAATAGTAGAAAGGGGGAAATAGGAGAAAGGAAAGAAATGGGATAAATGGGAGCAAGAGAGGATAGTTTGTAGTATAGGGGTATCGTTTTTTTAAAGGTAGGAAATTGAAAATTGGAATTGTAGCTTCTTATAAATGAATATACATTAAGGGGGAAACGTTGGGTAAAAATTTGTATGTGACTTTCGGTTTTTTAAAGGAAGGAAATTGAAATTGTAGCTACTCATTATTAGTAATATAATGACGTATTTCAAGGTTTTTGAATTTTCACATTTTAAGGAGGGGGGAAATGAGAAGTATTGTAAAACTAAATAATAAATAAAAATGAATATAAATAAATAATAGATAAAAAAATAAACAAAAATATATAAAAACAAATAAAAATAAATAAAAATAAATAAAAAATAAAGATAAATAAAAATATATAAAAATAAATATTAATTAAAAAAATTAATAAAAATAAAAATTAATCAAAATTTCCAGGTATCGCATGAAAAAATTTCTCTCTAGTAACGAACTGTTATTCACTTTAAACTTTTGAAATTTGAGAAATTTCAGCTGCAGATACTCATTCTTTGATGTAATCTTTAAGTTCTGCTGATTCCAAGAAGGAATTAGATTCATTATTAATACACCTTTACCTTTAATTGGCAATTAAAAAGAATAAAACAATAAATCTGTTCACAGGGGTGGGTTAGCTCAGTGGTTAGTCATAACTTTGAGATCGAAGGGTCTCAGGTTCGAATCCCGCCGGTGACAGGATTTTTATTTAATTTAATAAATTCAATATTAATTCTAATGCATAGGTATGATTCCTCACTTGACCATTCACTGTTGGGTTCCTAAAGTGGCGCTGGGAAACAGTAACAAAACCTACACCGAATACGAAGTTAATAAAGCAGTTAATGAAGTTGACACAAAAAAGTATGATTATTGACATCTTAAAATGTTTAAAGTTATCTACAACGATGTGTCAAATCATTGATAAAGAAATATTATTAGGGATTTTGGTCTACCTAAACTTGTCTATCAAATATCCAATGAAAATTCAATCGTGCCTCCTACTTAAATAATGAATTTAGCATAAGTATAGGTATATAAAATCCCGAAATTATTGAGCAGACATTAGACTCTTTTTTACATCATGGTATTTTTAAGGGCGTAATGGTCCGTCTCATGCTGGTGCTCGCACCCATTATGTGCATCCTAAGTGGCATCACCATCTCGCATTTGCTCACTAAATTTATGAAAAACATGGACACCCCGAAACAATCCGAACACAAGAAGTACAAGAAGACAGAAGCCAATGCCAGTTTCAGAAGCGAAATTTCGTCTATTTTTGTAGTAGTAGTTACCGTCCTTTTGATATCTTACACGTTTCATTGCACTTGGGTGACGTCGGAAGCTTACAGTTCGCCAAGTATCGTGCTGAGTGCCAGATCCCACGATGGCGGCAGGATAATCTTTGACGATTTCAGGGAGGCCTATTATTGGTAAGTCTTTTTTTGATAGAATTATCATATATGTGTTGGTAAAATTAATTTAAGCTTATTGAACTTCTGGGTGTGGCTGGCGTCTTTTTCATTCTGCAATTTCGTTGTCTTTACTTCGTGAACAGTAAATGGCACTAATAGCTTTAGTTCATGTTCTCAGAAAATAATGCGAATTTATTCAGATTGAAGATGTTTTGTTTCTCTCAGAGCTGAACTATTAGTCTACCAGTTAAGTCAACAGCCGATGTGGGAATGCTGGAAATTGGAAAACCAATTGCGATGCCATATATATGTAAAGACGTAAAAGCGATACAATTTTTTTTATACAATTCCGGGTTACAATTTGTAATTCGGCTCGGAAGTCCGACTTGTAGCGCGGAATTCCAACCTGTAACTTGGAATTCTAACTTGTAACTCGAATTTCAGACTTTTAACTCGGATTTTCGACTTGTAACTCGAATTCTCGACTTGTAACTCGGATTCTCGACTTTTAACTTGAATTTTCGACTTGTAACTAGGAATTCTGACTTGTAACTCGTAATTCCGACTTGTAAAACGAGATTCCGACTAGTAACTCGGAATTCTGACTGGTTACTGAGAATTCCGATTTGTTCCTCGGAATTCCGTCGTTTAAGGCGAATTCCAGCTTGTAAATCAAAATTCCAACTCGTTACTCGAAATTCCGACTTGTAACTCGGAATTCCGTCTTGCAACTCCGATACCCTTTCCGGCGACTGAAAATTCAACGAATATTTCTGTGACAAAGACGTAATTGATTTGTGCAGAATTTTGCAATCTGAAAGATCAGAACAAAATCTTAGAAAGGCTTCTTTTGCACATTTTTTATATATTTTTGTTTCTTTTAGGCTGATAAGTTGTCTTCTGTCAAAAGTAGGGTGATGATATTATTATCGAGGTCTGTGTTCAATATTAAATGTAAATTCAGCCTTCTGAATCAAAATTCTGAGTTACAAGTCAAATTCTGAATTGTATGTCGCAATTCCGAGTTTTATGACGCAATTATGAGTTGTATGTCGCAATTATGAAGTTTACAAGTCGTCTTCTTTTCGGTGGCCTTATAGTTCAAACAGATTCCCATCTTTTCATTAGATAAAATTTGAAATTTATGAATTTATGAGATTCGCTATTGAAAAGATTTAAAATAGCGGAAAACGACGTGGCAACGTTACATTTTTGGTGGGCTGGTTACGAACAAGAAGATTTTTGACATTGTCCTTATTACCATACAGAGTGAGCGATGTCTGTAATTCATAGCTATCCTAGATTTAAAAAGAATCTATGACTTATTAGGCGGAAGCAGAAATATATGACATGTCAAATTTTTTAAAAAAATGTAACCTTTTCGTAGAAACAATATTTTTAAATATTTTTTTTTTTAAATGAGATGCATTACCCTTTATTGATATACATTTTTGTTCTTTATCTAATATGAATTGATATCTTTACAAAAACTGTACTGTCCGATTTGATTTTTATTAGTGATTGATCGCTTTGAAAAGTCCACGGGCAAGTCCGATGGACTAGTCTGAAAAGTTGACTAGTCCAAATACACTTTTCAAAAAATGGAGAAAAGTGTATTGCACATGCGTAAAATTAAATAATTCATCTAGGGGGGTCGGTGGCTCAGTGGTAGAGTCTCTGCCTGTGGATCCAAGGGTCCCAGGTTCGAATCCCACCGTTGGCCGGGATTTTTTTATTTAATTTAATTTATTTCAAATTAATTCTGATGCCTTGGTAGGATTCCCCACTCGACCATTCATTGTTGGGTTCTAATTAACAGTGCTGTTCCTAAAGTGGCGCTGGGAAACAGTAACAAAGCCTACACAGAACACGAGGCTAATAACCTTAGCAGTTGATGCCGATGACACCAAATAATAAAAAAAAACATTCATCTGAATTTCTTACAAAGACAAAATTTAGTTTAAAAAAGAAGAAACGACAAAAGTTTGCTGACATAATGTTTTATCGATGTTTCGAACATTTTGTTTCATATCTTATCTCGTGAAAAAATTACCAAAAAATCCAAAGGTTGGAAGTATTTTACAAATGATTGCCTAAAAAAACAAAAATACAAATGCAAATATTGTTCCCAAAATGTTTTTGAAAAAACATCCAGGATGGAAATTTAACTGTGTATCTTCTATGCTCAAGGTCGACTACTTTTCATTGTGACTTTTCATTACTTTTACCACTTTTTCGGACATATTCGTCGGACTAGTCTAAAAATTACTTTTCATGAAAAGTCCCATCTCTACTTTTAACTTCTTGATATGCATAGGTGTGCCCATTTCTTCTCCGTTGTAAAATATTTTGTGTTTTCATCACTTTAAATTTGCATAAACTAATTGATAAAAAATTTGATTATAACAGTGACATTTTATATTCTTGAATATTTCAAATTGCTAACTTGTGAAATTCTTTAAATTATTTCACTATCTACTTTTTGTTAATTTTTTTTTTTCAAAACCTAATAGTTGTTTTTAAATATCCAAATTTCCTTGTCTGTCTGTATTTTTCAGTCTGCTAAAACCTCTAAAGCCTTCTTAATAAATATTATGTATCGCTCACAAATTGAAAGTGATTTATTTATTATTTTAAATGCTTTCTAAATACACAAACGACTAAATGCAAAAACCTCAGCGATAATTCTTTATATTTCAATAAGTGCGATACTGGTTTTCACAACCAACTGTTTCGTAGAAAAGAAAAATGGAGTAGCAATAATTCAATCAAGCTGATTTGTTTCTACGCGACAAAAATTCATCGCTGTTTGTTCTACTGTATGCTAAATACGGAGATTAATATTTATTTTATGTTTCTTTTCTCTTTATAATTCAACATTGCCCGCAAAACAAATTTTTAACGAACTAAATTCAGTTAAAATTAAATTTATTAAATTCGTATTATTATAGTTAAATTTAAAAGTGGTAAATAAACTTTTAGGTTAAAAATGAATACGCCGGAAGACGCCCGTATCATGTCATGGTGGGATTACGGCTATCAAATAACCGCCATGGCGAATCGAACGATACTAGTCGACAACAATACTTGGAATAACACGCATATAAGTAGAGTCGGGCAGGCCATGGCCAGTACAGAAGAAAAAGCTTACGAAATAATGAAGGAACTCGACGTCGATTATGTACTGGTTATTTTCGGCGGCCTTACTGGTTATTCATCGGACGATATCAACAAGTTTTTATGGATGGTTAGAATAGGTAAACAATCATTCTTATTAGTATAATTAAACTTTAAATATCTCGTTTCTAAAAAAAACCTCCTGGACTATAATTTCTTAAATAATTACGATGGTCTAATTCTAATAGTCCGTAACTACATGGATTTACATTTTACAGGAGAAGCTTTTTTTAGTTTAATAGTGCTATATACCATTGCAGTAAGAGTTATGAGTAGTCAGATTTCTCATGTAAATATTCTGCTCTATTAAGTATAAAAGTCGTATCTGCATTTTCAAAAGTTTCAAAAAAATCGGCAAAAAGTGTTAATATTTTTGCTATCGTAAGTATTATTGTTCTGAAAATCAAAGTTAACAAGTTTCAAAAAAATCGGCAAAAAGTGTTATTAATCTTTTTGCTATCGTAAGTATTATTGTTCTGAAAATCAAAGTTAACAAGTTGTATAATATTTTTTCATAGAATTTGAATTATAGACTTGTTTTTTGCAAATTTAGAGCTTAATGATGTTTTTGTTAGTTACGACAAATTTGTTTAACAATGATCAGCTAAAATATTAACATGATTAGTCGTAAGTGACCATCTACTGTATAGAAAAACACTTCGAGTTAAATGTTTATTATACTATCAGTTTTTTCAAATAGGGGTCTTTGAAATGAGATATGTTTAATTCCCAGGAGCCCAAAAACTAATAAACTACTTTCTGTAACTTAAACAACATTTTCGGTATTTAACTAAAACAACATTACTAATTGTAACTAAAAACAAAAACACTTATGCCTAATGAATTCACAGCAATATTATGTCAACTGAGATTTTTATTAATTTATTCGTCTTGTACAGGATTTTCAGGCAAATTATTCCAAAAGTTTATTCTATAAGGGAATAATTCCACGAAGAAGGTTTGTGAGGGTGTCTTCTCTAACTTGACTTATGCCACGACATACAGTCTTGCATTTAGGCTTTTCCAAAACATTTTGGTGTTTTGCTACTAAAAAATTTAATATTGTAGCCTCTTGTTGATAAAATTTGCATTTGTAGGATAATGACTGCTTTCCATTTTCAAAATGAACCTGCACCATATCACTTTAGTATGGCCGAGGATTTATTCTGCTTAATTTATATTGTGAACTCTTGCCTTCCCAATTAAAAAAAAATGTTAATTTTCATTTCAATCAATTTCACTTTCGACGAGTTCGATTTTTGACGGCATCTTTGTGATCTCTGAAATCATATACTTTTTTCATTTGCTTCAATTTCTCTACCTGGTCATGGAAAGAATCTGCTGACATGAAAGATATTTCAGAGTTGGAGAGTTTAAAGCGACGTCAGCAAAATTTACTAGATAGACGTAGAAACTGAAGAATGCCCAGTTTTTATTTTGGGCTGCACAGTTGTCCAACCACAAAATAATAACATTTTCAGCATCTCTATTATCTAGAAAAAAAGCATAGAAAGCACTAATTATGTCTTCTTTGGATCGTCCTGACAAGGCTTCGTGCCAAATTACTGGCGTGGGAAATTGTTTGTTTTTTTCCTATTGCAATAATACTTTCATTGAATGCAATGATACGAGGTACGAAAATCACCTCCTTGAACATTTCGCACCGCGGAAGCATACTGACCTTAAAAAAAAACTAGCAGGAAAAAACTATAAAATGAACATTCTAGTATGTTGGGATTATCAGCTTTTGCGTCAATTTGATATTGTTGTCGAGCTGACTTCGCCATTCCAATATGTTTATTCCATGATTTAAAGTCGGCGCAGTTATTTTCCAAATTCTTGGAGTCGTGATTGGTGCTGCTTTCATGATTTTTGAATGCTACACAAGTGAAGCACTCTTCCTGTCCGAGTGCAGTGAATGAAATATTCATTTTACTCACGACTATCTCTATATAAAAGGAAAAATTAATAATTGTATGTTTTGCCTTAAAGTTATTGTACATCATTACTATGGTAACATCACTAGGAAGGTATCTCCTATGGAGAGTGTTCCCGCCTGTAATGAGAAATTGACGGGTTAAAAGACTCTATACGCTGTCTGATTATGGCACGATCTATCTTTTTGGATGAACTAGCGCTACCTCGTCGAGATTTTTCTTCCTTTAACTGTTTAGTAGCGGAAGAGAATGCACTTCGAATAATTCGATCATTGTTAGGAAAATATCCAAAAGTTGCCATGAAAAATATTTTGCATACTTCCTGTATTGTACCACTAATTAACCTTCGTGAATCTAAAGATACCTTTCTCTTTGATTTTTCCTTTCTGTCATATTTAACACAAAAGATTTTTGCTCTAAATCCGTTAATTGCCAGAAATTCAAATTTATATTTGCACATTGTTGTTCTGAAATTTTTTTGGTACACCATTTCTTGCACTTGCTTCCACATGTATCTTTCAATAAATGCTTATTTTTCTTATCTTCGACTTTTTGTTTTTCTGCGTTCTGCGTTTTCGGAGCTGTCCTGTTTTTGTATATAAACTGGCTTCTCGGTTTTCGGATTGCTTAATTGCAGCATCAATCACGTTATAGACAATTTCGGTAACCAAAGCAATAACATTATTATTGTTTGAATCTGAAGTTATAGTGTTTCTGGGACGAATTACAACATTTTGATGGATAATAATTGAAGGAAGTTCAGGTTTTACTTCTTTTACTGCTTCTGAACTTGTTGTGTCAGACGATGATGGGATCTGAAAATCTGGATCATCTTTTTCATAATTTTTTGTTAAACGTGTTTGAGCATTTTATTCTAAATTCGTCTAATTTAGTGACCAGCTCTTTGTTTTTTCGTGCAACTGCTTGCAACAATCGCATAGATCTGCTATTATTACCATCCATTATTCTAAAATTATGCTCTATTTTAATAAAAGACTTCGTTGGCTACACACTAATGTGTTAATGTGATCAAATGTATAATGACAACTAACTTACTTTGTTTTTGTGTCCTATAAAGTAGGTATCACTTCAACAATAAGTTTAAGGCCACAGTTCACTTATTTTGTAAAGAAACATACAAAACTATCTGAACAGAAGTAAATAAATACTTTGTTGAGGTTATGTACAAGGTCTGTGCGTCAAAACTATCAGATTGCGCGCCAAATCCGTTTTTAGAACGATTTGTCGTATCTACTTCATTGTTAAGTATACTATTTTAAGATTATATGTCGTATTTGAATTGCAAATACGACATATAAACTTAAAAATATGCAGTTTGGACAATTATACTTAACAAACTGATGATAATTTCACATACGACAAAGAAATATGATTTTTTGATCGGCGATGAAAGTTATACGACATTTTTAACTAATAAATAGACGTAAAATCTTGAACTTATGTGATATACCCGAAAATCTCAAAATCTGCCAAACATGCAGATACGACTCTTATACTTAACACGGCAGTATTGTCCGAAGCCAATACGGCGTATTTTAACTAATGACAGAGTAAATGTACAACGGAATGGCGTGAAAAAGTGAAATTTAAATTTTTGGCAGTTACGGGGTATTAGAATTAAACCATCGATTAATATATCTGAAAATAATTCAGGGTTCACCCTAAAGTAATGCACAACGCGCTCTAGCAGGTATTGTAGCTGATCGAATCGCCCGTGAGTAGATTAAGTCTTAAGAACACGTTGGTAGTGAGGTTTGTTTAAGGGGTAAATGCCAAAAATTCGAAAAAACAACGAGAACAGGCAAAACTTTATCGGACGACAATCTTAATTTTGGTCTGGCGGGACGTTGGTCAAGTATTAAAGTACCAGACCAATTTTATTCAAAAGAGGAATGAAAAACAAAAATTTTCTTATACCTTGTATAGAAAATTTATCGTAAAAGTAACAATATATTAAGGGAGGTATGGAAAACGGTTGTCTCAGACTTATTTTTTTTTATTTCCTACTGATTAAACAATGTCGAATAAAAAAAATTGTACTTACGTTTTGTATATTAATTTTACAATTTTTTTTTTTAATAAAAAAACCAAAAAACGAACCTGTTACAGACCGCCAGACCAATGCACATAGGGGTATTTGATCCCAGCCAAAATGATTTTTTTGTCTATGTTGATTCTAAATTAAACAAAGGTTTTAAAAATGAACATTTCAAAGAGAAAGGAAGGAATTCTAATTATAAGAAATTAGTTCGGGAAAATTGGAATTCACTCGGGACCTTTAAACTGTAGGTTTATTTCCCCGGAAATGTTACTTTTTAAAAGTTTTTTTTAGGAGGAAGTACTGATAGAGGAGCTCACATCAAGGAATGGGATTATTATTCTCCCAACGGAGAATTTAGAGTGGACAAAGAGGGTTCGCAAACTCTTCTGAACTGTTTGATGTATAAAATGTGCTACTATCGTTTTGGGCAAGTTTACACTGAAGGTACGACGGTTAGTTTGTTTTATTATTTTTTATAATTTTTTGTTTTTTTTTTTAGGTGGTAAACCACCCGGTTATGATCGGGTACGTGGTGCTGAAATTGGTAACAAAGATTTCGAACTGGATGTCTTAGAAGAAGCGTATACTACTGAACATTGGTTGGTTAGAATTTACAAAGTCAAAGATCTTCCTAATAGAGGTGTTTAATTAATTTGCAAATATGTTTTTTTTTGTATTTTTCTCATTTTTTTTATGTAATATATTAATACAGATCTTTATTTTAACGTTTGATTTTAATTGATTATTTTCCTTACTACACGAATTCTCCACATCTGATTGTTTATTTGTCTGTCTAATGAATGGTCGATTGTCAGTTGTTATTACACTTGCACACACAAAAAATAATTTACCAGTATTTTATCTGTTTATCAGTGAGTTGTGTGTAAGACAGAGATCCTATAACGTCAAACCTCAACGATAGCCCACATTTACATTTGTTTTAATCGAAAATATGGATCAATAACTATATCATTAAAAAATATATATAAAACCAATTTGGGAATAATTTCACAATTTTTTTTTAAACAGTGGCTGGTCTTGTTCTTTAGTTTGCTGCTCATAGAACTAGACAGTTTCGACTAAATTTTTTAGCGACCGGTCTGACCATACAAGTTAACTTGACCGTTGACTTAACGCAGCCTATGCAAATTAAAGCACTGTCAACTGTCGTAAAACGAAATTCATAAAAAGTGCTAGATAACCCCATATTGATGAGAAAAACACCACAATGGAACAAGCCATTTTTATTAGAAATCGACACTTGTCTTGCAACTCTGTAGATGCCGCTTCCTTTTATAGGAAAAGATCATGTGACTTCCCCAATCGAACCAAGTGACTTCCTGAATGTATTCTACAAATACCTTATATCATCAGCATGTCGTTATCGGATCCGCAGAAATACAAGTAGTGATAGTAAAATTCTCAAGCACGTATTTTTGAATAACGTTCCCCTAGAATAAATGAAAAAAACCAGAATTTATGTTTGGGAAGTAGTGAAGTATTCAAAAACTTACTTTTCACAGTTCTTTCTGAAATTGCTCAAAATGCTGAAAAATGCTCAATATTCTCCTAACATTTCATAAGAAAATGACATTGTATTAAAATTCTGTGTTGCAAATAATATATTTAATAACTTCCAACATTAAAAGAAAATGTAATAACTTGAGTAACATAACTAACATGATAAGTAAAATGACTAAGAAAAATTAAGTGAGAAAAACGTTTGAGGTACAAAAAAACAATGTATTTTTGGAAATATGAAAATAAATAATCCCCAATTCCCCCTAAGAAATTGTGAAACATTAATTGATTTCAAATGTTTCAGCCATTTGATTTTATAGCCCAACTGGCTCTAGTCTGAGGGTAGCAGGTTCAATCCCTGGTCAATGCATTCATTTTTTTCTTTTCTTTAATTATCAGCTTGATTTATTTTCACTTTAAAGATATGGGGGTATATTTTTCATAATTTCGTAAGGGGGATTCGGGATTATATATTTTCATGTTTCCAAAATTTAGGTATTTCAGTTTTTCGAATATCAACCAATTTTCTCATTTAACTTTTCTTAAAAAAATATAACTAACATTAAATTGATCTAACCATACGCACTGATCTTTACGCAAAGAATCGAATGTGTTAACTAAATTAGATACCAAAATAAAACAAGAGAGTTTACTACTACCACAGCAGCAACATGATGAGTCATGTAATAGCGCGGATGAAGCACGCGCTGATAGGTCAAGATCGTGCTGAAAATTCGTTTTCGTGTTGAAAAATTATCGTTCGTGCTGAATGTGCTCTCTGGGAAATGTTCGCAGGGCCGCCGCCCAGACAACACACCAAATCCCAGAGATATCCACAGAATATCTTTTGTGGATATCCAATATATCCACAGGATATCAGAAATATTCCGTGGATCTAATGGATATCCAAATGTCCGTCTATATCCAGAATATAGAAGATATCCTATGGATATTCAGCAAAATATCTAATGAGTATCTTCCAGACAATACAAGAAATCCCAGAGATATCCACAGAATATATTTTGTGGATATCCAATATGGATATAGAATTCAGATATTCAGCAAAATATTTTATAGGTATCTTTAGTAGAGGTTCATAAGTAACCAATGATTATTGAATAACCTCGAAAGCGAAAGAAAATAGAGATAAAAAATATTTCCAATAATCTGCCTTTGATTTTGCCCACTATAAGGGCACTAAGGAGAAAGTCATCCTTATTAGGACTCTTCAGCAATAAATTGAGATTCTCGACTCCAATCTCTAATAGAGTGTGATTGCCAAAAAAATTCGATCGAACTCATTTACGGCGGGTTGAGCATGAGTAGATACGAAAGTGGTATCGCCATCTATACTTAGGAAGCAAAATCAAAAATTACATCTAGTAGATATCCACGATGGTTTGCGTCCGCGCTTAGACTTTGATATATTTATATTTATAGTGGATGTCCATGGGATATAGAATACACCTTAAAAAAATTAATTTTAAATATCTGAACGGTACTATTAGCCACAATGGCGAGCACAATGGCGTAATTAATAATTTGCTATATAATTACTATTATTTATGGACATTTGCATGTCTATAAATTACATTTCATGGATATAAAATAGATATCCACCATGGACTGGACATTCAGTGGATATTGGGATGTTCATTAGATATCCAAAGGATTTGGTGTGCTGTCTGGGCGAGAGCCATGGTGGGGTCAGGGGCAAAAGAGTGGCAAGCCTCCCCACCACATATTTTACTCTATTTTTTTTTACCAACAAACTCTTCATCACAGATCACTTACTTTCAGGGCCGCCGAGAGCCAGGTCGGGCCCCGGGACAATTCTCTAGATCGGACCCTGTGACAAAAAATCTTAACCAAAAACTTTTCGTTACTTCTTCTTCTAAAAGGTCCTCACCTCTAAAAAAATATTTTATCCCTACTTCAATTATTCTTCTTTAAAAAAAAAGGTCCTCTGCCGAAAAAAACTCCTCTAAGCTAAAACTTTTCCTGTAACTTTCAATCACATCACCTCCCCTTTCTCTTGTTATGTCCAATTTCTCATGCGGAATCAGAAAACCCTATTGTCGGGCCCCCCTTATAGCGCTGCCGGGCCCCCATTTGAGCCCAGGCCCCGGGAATTAGTCCCAGCTACCCCCCCCCCCTCTAGTCGGGCCTGCCTGCTTACTTTTAGAATGAAAACTGCAATGTTAAAATTCGAGACAGTTTTGTAACACCCAGTGAGCGTTCTTTGAACTATTTGGCGGAAGTGGCGCCATCTCACGGTCACTTTAGTTAACACAAAACGCGGGAACATTCAAAATTGTCATTCAATATTTAGTTTAAAATGGTAGTCAAATTAAGATTTGTTCATACCTTTTTTACATTTATTGCAGCAATAAAATTATACTTGTTACAATAAAGCAAAAAATGAGTAGTATGAACCAATCCTAACTTGACTACAAGTTAAAATATTTTATTATTTATTAGTACAAAAAATTAAAAAGCATGATCAACAAAATTAATTTATTAAAACAAAAAAAAAACATACAAAATAGAATAATTAAATGTAGCGTGTTAATTAGCTGTAAAGTTAAGTCATTGTCCACAGAGGTTGCTTCCCTCATTAGGCCGTTTTGGCTTCCACGATGCAATTCTTCGACTCCAAATGATTTGAAGAAAGTTCCTACTAGAACAAAATAAAAAAACAGTATAGGTAATAATCTGAATTAAATCAATATAAAAATCCAATGTGTCAGGCAACAGGGAAAGTGAGGCATGAATACAAAAAGGTAAAGTGACTATTACTTCCCTGATTAGGCCGTTTTGGCTTCCACGATGCAATTCTTCATCTCCAAACGGTTTGAAGAAAGTTCGTACTAGAACAAAAAAAAAACACTAAGTAACAATCTGAATTAAATCAATATAAAAATCAAATGTGTCAGGCAGCAGGGAAAGTGAGGCATGAATACAAAAGGGTAAAGTGACTATTACTTCCCTGATTAGGCCGTTTTGGCTTCCACGATGCAATTCTTCCACTCCAAATCTTACCAACAGTAAAAGTAGTTTTTTCTGAAGATTGTTTCAAACCTGTACAACTAGTTGAAGCCTCAGAATATGTAACCAAATTGTTTTGATCAACATACTCGAAATGTATATCACTCGAAGTTGAAGGAACTTCATCTGGTACATGATCAAGACACAGAACTTCCGATTCTGAGAGGAATTTTGTTGGATATGCTTCAACAATTAGACCTCTGTGAGTTTTAGGAACTTTAAATTTATCTTCAAAATGTTTATCACATACTAAATAGTTTTTACGAATTTGTTGTGCCGTTTTATTATTGAAAAACGGACTGCGAACAGCCAATACCCAAATTTGAAATAAATCATTATTTGGATCAGGTTTGGAAAATCGATGCCTTCTCAGAGTGTTTACAAAACAATTCGACACACAACAATACGGCATATTTCAACTTTTAAACAAAAAATCACCACAAAAATATAAAATAAGCTCACTATTGCCAGCAAGATCAAGTGCACAAATTGAAAATTAAAAACACAATCGAACAAGACCAAGTTGACAATACAATAAACAATAATTTAGAAAATACTATTTATTCATCCAGGATCCAGGACACTCCCAAATAAAAACAATTAAACAATAATTATTGATAATATTATGATATTAATCACAATAAATACTGGTAATGAATGCCATTGACACTGACTGACACTCCTACCCCCAACTCCCACTCTTTCCACCATCAATTGTGGATGTCTGTAAATTATGTGTACAGCGCCATTTAGAATTCGTTCTTTGAAACCAAAACATTGTTTCAGTTCGGGCTATACCAGTTACCGATACCTGTTCTTCATGTTCTACTAAAATGAGTGTACATCTATCTATCTGAATTAGGGCGTGGTTCAAAGCTTACTCGTACTGAAGCTCCCCAGATAGCACACGGACGTCTTATGGACGTCTAAAAGACGTCCTTCAGGGACATAAAGGACGTCCGAGGGACGTCCTCTTTTGGTACCGGAACGTCAATCGGACGTCCAATGGACGTCCTAATGTCCCGTTTCCGTCCATCTTTGGGACGTCCCGGGGACATCCCAAAAAGACGTCATAGGGACTTTTGCGGGACGTAAATCAGACGTCCGAGGGACGATATTTGATCATAATCCATAAAGGGTAATAATAACAAAAATT